TAAGGAAACCTATCTTCGTGTCAATAGAGAAAAGATAGAGCATAAAAAGTTTAGTATATAGCCAAATTTTCAGAGAAATTCATTCAGCCAATTTCTTCGTAGAGGTTTTTATAGATCAAAAACACGAATTTGCTTGAAAGTGAACCGAAATTGATTTAAATAGATGGAAATTGAACAAAAAAACACTTTTATTTTGAGGAAACCATAGGTTAATTGGTGAATTTGTTATTTTTCCACGTTTCAACTGACTTTCTGGACAGCCTAATAAAATTAAAGAAAAGATTGGTCTCTGAGATCAAGCTAATCGATACCAACAGCTTTGCTAGAGTTTTTGCGAATAAAACTTTAAAGGAAAATGTTCTGAATAACAAAAGTACTTAGTTAAAGCTTATAGAAAGATCACTTTAATGTTAAATTCTAGAAATCAACAAAGGATTCGATACAAATATTTACTTGTGATCCTTTTCCGAGAAAATCCTGGGTTGGCGCTTTAAAGCGTGGTAAAACTACCGTAGCCCTCCCAAATTGGCGAAGAATTTCTTTTTTTTCATTCTTATTCATTTCATTTTATTCTTTTTGCGTTTTTCTGATGTGGGGCGTTTGTTTTTGCAGGAAACAAAGAGTATAAAGCTAAGTTACGTTTTTAACAGCATTTTCTGTGGCGAAAGCCTTGTTTGTAGAGTTTTTTTAGATTCACTTGCTTCCCGACCATCTACTACACGAACTTGATGCAAACTAATGTGAAGTTAAGTGCTTTTATCATTTTCTATGGCGAAAGCTTTGTTTGTAGAGTTTTTTAGATCCACTTGCTTCTCAACGATCTGCTCCACGAACTTGATGCAAACTAATGTTGGGTTAAGTGCTTTTTATCATTTTCTATGGCGAAAGCTTTGTTTGTAGAATTTTTTTAGATTCACTTGCTTCCCGACCATCTACTCCACGAACTTGATGCAAAATAATGTTAATTTAAGTGCTTTTTATCATTTTCTATAGCGAAATCTTTGTTTTTGTGACTTTTTAGTTGAAAAAACGTTGAAACGTTGAAGAAAAAAGCAAAAAGAATAAAATGAAATGAACAAGAATGAAAAAAAATGAAATTTCGCGCAAATTGGAGCAATACGGTAGTTTTACCATGCTTTAAAGTGCCAACCCAGGATTTTCTCGGAAATCGTCATCTTCCCTTCACCACCAAAAAAGCTATTTAGTTCCCCATTGAGCTTAGGGTTAGGGAGCCGTCTGTCATGACGTGGGTTAAGTTAAGATATAGCCTAGTATTGTGTGTGTCGTTGTATTGTGATTGATATATTTCGTGTATGCGATAAATTCACCACTGGTAGCCCTAGTCGGTATTTTTGGAAAAAGGTCGCAAATAAATCTTTCACTACAACGATTGCCTTCAACAATCTTTCAAACTCAGAAAGCTACTAAAAATCCTCTAAAGTTCTTAAAAACAGATCAATAACGATTAACGATAACGTAAAACGATTTCGACTTCAAATTACAAGTGTCAAAGATTCAATCCGAAACCAGTAAAAGCTTTTGAGGGCATTTGAGGCCAGCTTTAAGCTCTCTTGAGAACCCAAAAAAGAGTTGAAAAGGAGGAACAGCTGCAAGAGCGTGTGATGAGGCTCAACTAAAAGGAAATGGGAAAGGATCATGAAAAGGGGACAAAATGAGGGGATCAGAGAGACTAAATGAGAGAAAAGAGAGACAACGACTCATCCATTCTCCGGAAGTCTCTTTGGGCATTTTTCTGCCGCTTTTTCGTTCCCAGGCTCTCCCATTGTCTCTCAAAAATATTACAATTAGCTGCTTTTGGAAAAAAACTTGCCAACTACTGGTACTCGTTTCTAGTGTAATGTCATTTCGAAGGGGTAATAAAGTCAAACGAAGCGCTCTGGGGTGGGTGAGTGAGTAAGGAAATTCTAATAACTCTAATCAAACAAGACATAGTTCAACTTACACTTGTGATTGTTCTGTTAATCTTACATTAGCTTAGAACGACTCTTTTAGAAATTTTTGAGCTCATAAAATCAGTGTATAGAAGTTTTTGAGACTTATTTTAATAAAAAGTGTGTAGATTTCTTTTCTTAAAAAGCATAGTTCAGCAGCTATTTTCAGCAGGGATATTTAACAGCTTTAAACTTCCAAATTTCATTTAGCAACGTCCTTACAGCACTTTTTTTCTTTAACTTTAATCGGTTTATTTGCTATTCGCACTGCCATCGATGTATGTTAGATAGTTTTGCGAGAAAACTGAGTAGGGAAAGGAACGAACTCAAGGTGAGCTTGTCCAGCAAGTGCACTTTATAGAATCGGGTATGAGGAATCCGAATCTGAAAGCAAAATCCGTCAAATGACGTTCCAGGCGTGTAAAACTTCAATCGAAAATTTGGTGTCAAAACGAATGCTTTAAAGGTCACCTTTATAGCGGAGAAAGCTTTTAAAAGGCTACCAACGTAGAGTGGAAGACTCTACGTTGGTAGCCAAATGGATAACGCATTGGGTTTCCGGTGACAAGATCAGAGTTTGGTTCCAGATGTAGGTTTTTGTTTTCATTGTTTTTTGAGCAACATCTAGCATTTTGTAGCTAATTGCATTATGATTTTTCTTTTAATTTCTTCGATCGTAGATGGTTTACACAACAGTTTTAAACTTCAAAACTTCATTTAGCAACGGTACAGCATGTTTTTCTTTAACTTTAATCGGTTTAATTGTCATCAATGAATGATAGATACTTTTGCGAGAAAACTGAGAAAGTGTAGCAAAGTATAATAGTGGAATTACAGAATTACAGTTTGAAATGGAATTACAGAATTACAGAAATGCCAGTGAAGGACTTTAAAACATAATTTGAAGTTTTTATGAGATGTTTGATATTATTTGATAGTTCAAAAAAGTGTTTATCTAATTGTTAGAGTTTTTACTAACAATAAGTTTAGGAAGTGGACTATTTAGAGCACAATTTGACAGGCTCGAGAAGAAGCTAAGTAAGAACACTAATAAGCTAAGTAAGAACACTAAGAAGCTAAGTAAGAAGACTAAGAAGCTAAGTAAGAACACTAAGAAGCTAAGCAAGAACACTAAGAAGCTAAGCACAATTTGATAGGCTGCTAAGTTCTTTGTTCTTTTAGAATATTGGAACAAGCTTTCTTAGATTCTCAAGAGACTCTTTTCCATTATCCTCTACTCATCAAACAATTTGCATTCCATTTCCTCAGCCTCAATCAATCTCCACCAACCCAAAACAACTGTATGATTCTTGACGGAGTAGGCTTTATGCTGTGCCGAGTTTTGCGGGAAAATGTGAGAAAAAGGCTCAATTGAGTGCAAAAAGAAGGAGCACACAGCTGGATATCTCTTTTCATCAGTCAATCGACAGGGGAAAACGGAAAAGTGTCAGGGTTTTGGGAAAATTCCACACAGATGTGTGTGTGCTATGTGTGCCCAAAAACTCGTCAAAAATCGTCCATAGCTTTTCTTTTTTTTCCGAAAGTGGCTTCTGTTTTAACATAAAATGACATGTCCATCACTTTTTTTGAGGCTTTTCCCTGCACTCCATGACATGTCCATATCGCTGCTGTCCATCTAGGGACTTTGTTGGAAATTTTACAAATAGCTTCTCATCAAAAATTTCAAATCTCATGACTATCAAAGATTTGGAAATGTTTATTTTGGGGAAAAAAGGCTTTGGGACGCTAAAGCTTAAAACAGCTTAAAATAGAAGCTTAAAACAAAATCCAAACCGCACAATCAAATGTTAGAATTTAAAACATTGCTGTTAAGCTTAAAAACTCAAAAATAATAATGATAAAGACAGCATTTTAGCAATACTAATCTGAGTTTTTAGGCTTAGCACTCTAAAAGTGAGCTCTAGAAAAAGCTATCGTAATTCCGATGTTCTTTTTGAGGGAAAGAGTGGCTATTTTTAGCCGTATCTTGAAGAATTGAAACTGATCCAAGACTTTATCGCTGAATATTTTCAAAAAGATGACCGGAGTACGATGATCAACCAAGAAGGTGCAAGAAAACCTACATACTAGCTTTATAGGCTAGTTGGATCGTCACCACCCTGTTCCCTTGACTCAATTCAAGCTTTGAGCACACATGGATGCATATTTTGCTCTTTAGAGTTTCTATAGGGTTACAGGCGAGGCTTCGGGAGCCGGTGACGATTCAAGAAAAGAACGAAGTATAGAATCAATAATCGAGATAGAGCTCCTAGTGGACCATTTTTGATCAGCAGAACTGGCGCTGTGGGATGAACCAAATCTCGGGTTAAAGTGTCGAAGTGTTCACTCATGAGACCCCATGAAAGGCGTCAGTTGATATAGACAGCAGGACGGTGCCCATGCAAGTCGGTAACCGCTAAGGAGTGTGTAACAACTTATCGAATCAACTAGCCCTGAAAATGGATGGCGCTTAAGCGGACCACTTATACCCGATCGTTGCCGACTTGAGCGCGATGCCGGCCTGGTCGCAATGAGTAAGAAGGTTGGGGTGATTTACGTTGAAGGCTTTGGGCGTGGGTTCAGCTGGAGCTTCCATCGGTGCAGATCCTGGTGGTAGATCGAGATATACTCGCTCCCGAGTCTGGACGTAAAACCTCCGGTTTCATGTTATGCGGTTTATCAATACGAGTTTATAAAACACGCGTTTATCACACGCAAAGAAAACGAAACAATAGAGATGTATATAGAGAAAGAGTGGGGTAGATAGTGAGCAACCGCGATGGATCGGATTCAATCAGTGATCGAAACACTTCGAACCACTCACCATTGCGCCACTTTGCGAATAGAAAAATTTCTCGCGGGGGGGGGGGATTTAAATAGAGGCCAAAGAGGACAAAAAGATATTCAGTTGAGTTAACTGAATAGCCAAGATCAGCCAATTGACCAGAAAAAGGGTGCCGAATAGGAACTATAAGACATTAACATTTTACCAGCTAAGATCTTGGCAATAAAGCATTTTGAGATCTTGTTATAAGATTGTACCTTCTAATCACAACCACAAGCAGCCACTAAAAGATTTTCATAACGAATTTGCTTCACGGCGGCTGACGGGGTGTGCAGAAACAAAGTGATGTCATCGTATTGAGTCGGATGGCAACATTGTGGAACTAACTGAAAGTGAGATTTGATGATAGTGATACGTGAAATTTGACTCACATCTTCTGCAAAGCTATCTTTCATGATCTGATGTCTGGAAACTGGGATGTACTCATCGGAATTGGCGTCACGCTAAATTAGGTAAAGAATTAGGTAATTTAGGTAAAGATAAAACAAAGCCCAATTTTGTAGAATAGATGTTCTTCCAAATTGATGCTATTTCAAAAAGTATCGACTTTCGAAACTATCGTAATTTTGCTTTGAGTTTTTATCCAATTAATCTACTTTTTCTGATTCTGTGTGGGCTCACAAAGAGCAAGAAAACTTCTAAATCTAAAACTACTCACTGCATGATTGTTAATTGCACAACTTCCAGTGCAAATGTAGATGTCGAAAGCACGTGGGGCAATCAAAAAGTTCCAATTTTTCATCAGCTAAAATTAGCAAATGAATTTGATCGAAAACGAACAAAACGCACACTAAAATCGACTGGCATAGAGCGCAGACAGCAGCCCTCATCCTGAAAATGGTTGATGAGTTCTTTGAATAATGTTTGTAAACATTTGAAAACCAAAACTTTAGTATTTAAAAGTAGAAACTTTGTAGAACAAACCCCATCTGATAGATCACACAACTCTTGTCCCTTTAGCGCCATTAAATTCTTCGTTTTGATCTCGAAGAAAATGTTCTAAAGGGTTTAGCTTGGTTAAAGTGTTTAGCTTAGTTAAAGCATTTAGAGAAATCTTAAGCGCATTTAGAGAAATCTTGCATCATAAAAGCTTTTGATTGCAAGGAACTAGACTGCTTCAATCTTCTGAAACTTTAATCGGCCACCTACAGTTGTTTGTGAGTCAAATCTCTGTGCGATAGTCGTTTTCTTAGCATTGAAATAGAACAAGATCTCAAGCTCGATTTCACCAGAGCCAATCTTTTGGAGCAATCTGAATACAAATTGTTTAGATTTCAATAAAAACATACGGTTGAAAATCTTGTGGAGAAAACTTTGCAATTTGTTCGTTGTTATTCAAGGTGGGGATGTGCCCGAGCTCACCAGAGCCAAAGAGATTTCTTCCCTGAATAACAATTGAGGGTAAAATTGTATAAAGAAAATTTTGGTTCGGTAATTTTTATGATCAGAACACAGTCTTTAGCATAGATCAGACAATTTAGTTAAAGGAAAACTTTATTTTAAAGTTCATTAATGTTCATTAGGTCGCGGGAGAGACAACTTGATCACCATCACCTCTTTAGAATTTGTGTAAACAACGACTAACCTCTTTAGACTTTGTGTAAACTTCAACACTCGCCGGAGAATCAATTGGAGATTTGTCGAAAATAATTGAAGCTTTCACTTCTACGATTCTTCTTTTCAGACCCTAAACTTTTTATGACCGCATTCTTTAACCGCTTGACTACCTGTTCAGGAATTGGTAAAAACGTTCGCGAATAGTTCGCATTGGATGAAACGGCTATGTGAAATGTTTCAAAGATTTCCTTTGGTGGCGCTAAAGTTCTTTGGGGGCTTAAGGTAAAGAGTTAGACTTCAACAACTAACCCACTGGTGGTTTCCTCTCTTGTAAATACTTGATCAACTTGGCGTTTTGTTCAAAAAAAGTCTCATTGATGAACGGTGGTTCCAAATGATCAAGTGATTGCAAGATCCTTGTTTTTACCTAAATATTATTTTTTGAATAGTGCTTTAACTTCCTTCCTTCACATTTGATAAAGCAATTTTTAGTCTAGCAATGGTGCTCTCATAACGGATACCTAAATTCTTAACAGCTTAAAGGAGGGGTTCGAATTGAGACCGATTCTCATTGGCCAGCTTATAGCTAGTGTCATACAATTGCTATAGCAGGATTTCAACATTTATACTTACCACAAAATCAAGCCAAATTAAAGGCAAAAAGCTCTTTCCAAAAATTTGGGTATAGTGACGCTCAAAAAAGCCAAAACTGGCTCAGTCGCTCATTGCTCCTTTCCGTTACGGATTCCAAAAGGGAAACATTTTATACCAGACGGGTATGCCAGATGGCAAGCGATTACGCAGGCGTACAAAGAACACCGCGTCAGTCATTTGCATAGTAATTCTTCTTTTGTATTCTAGATGGCACAAAAAGAATATATTGAGCTATACCGGGGTTTTTCGGGGTCGGGATCTATTGGAGCTATTCATTTTATTGATTCTACCAATTGAAACTCAGATCTAATTTATCTAAACTTTTAGATTTAGTGAGAATCGTGAGAGTGAGAGTTTGATGAGAATCGGTCCTAATTCAGACCTCTCTTTTAAGAGATATGATAAAAACAAACATTCAACCACTATATTGCTTAGCGATGTGATTTGTACTTGATCCTAGTACTAAAATCTGAACATAAGAAGCTAGTCAAACCTGATTTATTCGCTGCTCTTCTTGATCCTTTAAGTACTTCTGAACTTTTCCACAAAAAGAAGCACGCAAGTTGATGAAAGATATAAATAATAAAAGAATAGAAGATAAGCTCATAAAATTGTTGAATATTTTGATTATTGTGGCTTTGTGTGTTTCTTTTGATATTTATAATAACGGGATTTTCCCATTACGTTGCCAGTGGTGAGCCAATTACTTAGCACAAACAAAAAAATTTCTTTGTTTTATTTGATAACACCATAAATACCATGGAAAGTGATACAAATTGCAGAAATTGGAATGAATAAACTAAAATTGAAAGTATTTTAAAGCTAGAATCGAATCAGAGATCAGTATACTCATAAAACTATCATTATCAATCCAAAGATAAATATTCACAATCACCAAACTCTACACCGTTTTTCATTGACCATTTTCGAGGTCTTAGGACAACTGAAAGCTTCAGCGAATTCTGGGGAATTTCCTAGAACGACGTTGACACGAGCTCTATCCGGACTGTGGGTATCCTCAAGTGTCTCGGTGAGTAGAGTCTCGTTTCTCCAGTTACCACACCATGACTGAAAGGTTTGGATACGGTTTCAACGGATATCTAGGACAAAGCTGGCTTACTTAGAGAGTAAATCGAATGAGTTAGACATTGAATTGTAAACAAGAAAAAGGACAAAAAGGCTTTATCCTTGTTCGGGTATGGATACGAGCTCGAGTCTGTTGCATGAGCAATAACGTACTCAATAATCTGGTTGCATTTAAATTTAAATCGAACTTTCGACTTACAATTATGTTGCTGTCTAAAATTTTAGAATTACACGATTTCTAAGATCGTTGCCAAAAACAACTCAAAGTTTAGCTATTAGGTTGAGTACTAAGTCTTTGACCTAAATTCATTTTCTAATTGACTAAGTCTCAAGCTATCAAATGAAATAGGGTTTTTTTTTCATTAGATAGCCCAATCATTTCTCTTGCAAATGACTTTGAAAATTTCTGAAAAGTTTTGTTTTGAAGGTTTTTCATTAGCAAGAGGTCGAGCGTTCAAAAACGACAAAACCGTTTGGTATTTGGTAGTTTGAGATAATTAAATAATGAAGTTTGAGTTTGAGATGATTAGATTTCATTTAGATTTCATTTAGATAATGAAATGAAGGCCGCAATACTTAGTCTTCAACTTAATATAATAGTAGATCAGTTCTTCTAAACCTAACTCGAAACTCACAAGATGAGCTACGAAAGCTCAAAAAATGAAGCCAATTAATACCCCTATAGGGTTGCTCTTTAAAACTTACAAATGCATAGCTCATGAAGAAAATCTGCAACGGTGAGTACTTCCGAAGGGCAATCGGTATATTCTCGGTGTCAATTTTCTTCTCATTGATCAACTTCTGCACCCCTCTCAAAGCTGATCGAAGCCCTCCATTGTCGGCTATGTTCTCGCCAAGTGTTTTGTACCCATCAATCTAAACTTTCCATTGGCTATTTATCAATTTCAGTTAACGCACATAAATGTTGAGCGGTTCGATTTTCGTGTGTCCGTATTGTTCCACGAAACATTGCTTCATTTGTTCGTAGTTCGTGAGGGTTTTTGCGTCCCACCAGTTTTTCTTGTTGCCTAACTCGTCGAATTGTGAGCCTAAAGACAATTGATGAAAAAGCAGCTAGAGTAAAATTTTGGCTAATAGCAAGATTGAAAATTATAGCTTAAATCGATAAAAGTTTCAAATCTTTTCTAACCATAGTTATCAAAACCTAACCATAGTTATCAAAACTAACCATAGTTATCAAAACCATGCGTAATCTCATGCCCAATTACCACCCCGATTGAACCATAATTTTGTGGTCTCGAGAATTTCGGATCAAAGAAAGGCGGCTGAAGAATCCCGGCAAGTATTGCTGAATCTATGGGATTACCGTCGTGCAACAAAACAAACCAATCTGATTCCGACTTGGATCGTAATAGGCATTCACTTGACTGGCCAAAAAGTCGAATGACCATTTAGAATTGGGCACAAGAAGGCTCTCATACGCACGTTGTTGACTCCATTTTGTGATCGCGTTGCTGATTCCCTGCATGGTGAGTGGAGCTGGGTAGTCTAGCTGAAATCGGATTTGCAAACTAAAGATCTAATAATGTTGACCAAAGTCCGTCCTTGCTGCCTAGTCTGGCCGACAAAAGTCCCTAGACCTGTCAGAAGCCAGGCACAAGCATGAACTTGGATTCTGTCTGGCTCTGGTTCGGTCTGCCGACCTAGAAATAGAAAAGCCATGACAAATTCAGCTAAAACTTTGGTGATAATCGTAACTTTTTGCGCCCTATCTTATATCTTTTGTCTTTTGTCTTATGACATAAGATTATATTTCTTTGGCTAAAACTCCTCGAATTGTCAATGTATCAAATTGTCCTTAGGCCTTTTCTGCTTTTGATCCCTCAACTTATTGCTCTCTAAAAAAGCATCAAATGGAAGGCTTTTCTAGGCGTTAAAAGCTACTTTTAGAAGATCAATAAGATTTTAAAAGATTATTCTAAAAGTTTTATAAGTTCCTGAACTATCTTTGTTTTTTTCTGAGCTACATCTTCGTCACGCAATTCAGGCCGAAACGATGATGGAGTTATGGTAATCTGGTAAAGAAATGGTAAAAACTGTAAGTAAATCGAAGCATCAGTTGTTTCTAAAAAAACCAAAGAGTAAGCGATATCAACATATTGTACTCAACCCAATAACTATCAAGAACACTCACTAATTCATATTTCTCAGCAATCGACGTCGCGTTGAATATTGTTGGATTGTAGCCGATGAACTCCATCATCCTTTCGGCCTAAATTGAGTGACAAAGATGTAGCTAATGGTTTAGAAGCTTATAAAACTTTTAGAATAAATTTAACACATTTAGGACGAGGTTTTTGATTTTTGCGTAAACTATTTTCCTTTCAACTCGTCTAAAAACGTTCACAGGCAACCGATTCACTTAAGTTAGGGGTGAAAATGAAGAGAGATCTTCACGGATCACTTATCTGAAAACAGATTAAAGAAATATTGAGTTTAAAGAAAGTTCGGAATGAGAAAGCATGAGAAATTTTCTGGGTCACCGGTGACCCGGGAATTAATTTGCTTTGCATTCAAAGGTTCATAACTCACTTCAAAGAAATAGTTTTTCAAACAGTTTCCAGATAAATGGTCCTCAAAGATTTCTCTTCATTTTGACCCCTAATTTAAATAAATCGGTTGCCTGCAAACGTTTCTAGACGGGCTGGAAGGGAAATAACTTACACAAAAATCCAAAAACCTCGTCGTGCATGTGTTAAAGCGCAGCTTCAAGATCCATAGCCAACCTTTAACCTAGCTGCGGCTTTTGTTTTGTTGTCCATCCAGTCAGTCTCTTCCAAAATCTCAATGAACGAGTTTCTGATGTTTTTCACCATCATCGAAACTTCATCGACGCTTTTTTGAGAGAAATACCTAAATTTCTTATTGATGCACTGAGTTCTTATTGAGTTTAAAAACCGTTCAATGTAAAGAGCTCCAGCTACATCGGAAAAAACTTCGACCGAAGCATTGATACAATCTTCTTCAGTACTGTCTTTCGTTTTTACTCCGTAGATTCTTTGATTTAGTTTCTAAACATGATAAAGTCATCTAAATTATTGTACTCTTAATATTGTCAAGTCAAAAATCGGCCAAGTTCTGTCAAGTTAAAGTTCCAAGTGAAAGTATTCAGCAGCTGAATGCCTCTATTACTGTAGCGAGAGAAAATTTGACATTTTATAGTAATTTTACGGTTTTTTCACGATTCTACCCACATTGTAAGCATCGAGAAAACGATCATCCAAATAGGGAAGCAGTGAGAAAATGATCTAGACTCAAATTCGTAAACAGCTCAAAGATCTCTTACCTTTCCTTCCAAAAAATCAGCTAACGTCTGATTTTGAACACTGAGCACAAATTCGTTGACCATTTTTATCCCATCAACATTTCGCAAACGAATATTCATTTTTGACAATGACAGCTTTTCTTGAACAGATTTCGGAAGAATAGCTTCAAAATAACGAGTGAAATTGACCTAAAAAGGATTTGGTTCAACAAAATTTAATATCTGAAAAGTATTGACTCACCGCAGTGATCAAATCCGAGACCTCAGGCAGTTTGACTGAAATATCCGTTGTGTTGTCTTCGAGAAACAATGAGTCAATCTAAAATGTAAATTTGGTCTAACAAACAAAGCATAACTACCAAAGCTACAAAAGGCTCAAACCTCGGCCATTCTTCGATCGATCGCAAAATAATTTCGGAGCTTTCGTTCACTTTCCTTAATGGTTCCATCAAAGAATTCCCTTTTCACATCATCTTTGCTCAAGAAACCATAAATTTCTCTGATGAATGTATAACCTTCAGTGAGTTGGCTCTGAAAGCTTTATGTATCAAAAATGAAAATAAGAAAAGTGTAACCGCGTTACGGTTCCAAATATCCAAATTCTAGGTTGAAATCTTAAACTCCTAAATCTTTTAACACCGAAAATCTAATTCTAAATGAAATCCTTAATTGCCAGAGGAGGAACAACGAGAGGAGGAACAACAACAACAACAACAACAACAACAACAACAACAACAAAACGCTTGGTGGTTGGGTTGGATTGATTCGCGTTTATAGAGAAAAGATGTTTAGATTTTTAATAAGTTTATCGGTGATATGAAAGATAGGGGACTAACAAAGTGGAACGACCGGGAAAAGTACAGAAACTCTAAAACTTTAACAATTTTAAAAGAAACAGGAAAAGAGGGGTGGAAACAATAAAAGAATGAAGGAAATTTTAACAATAAACAAAATTTTATAACGGAAAAGAGAAAGGGGAACATACACGAGCAAACGATAACGAATTAAGACACGGCGAAGCGCCAAACCGGGCAACTATTCTTTAAAAGAATGAATTTTGAAGGAATGAGGAAAAGGGAGACGCAGTTTCGAGTACGATAGTTTAGGTGTGTTTTAGAATTTAGGGTTGGAAAGTTTTCAACCCTTACTCGAACTGAGGTTTTACTAAAGTTCTATTGTGAACTATCGTTTTAAAGAATTTTTCTAAGTCTTGACGGACTAGTTTGACTGAAAAGTAGCTTTACTTGACAAAATTTGCAAAACAAAGTCAACGCACCTTAAACTAATTCCGAGAAGTGCTATTTACGAACCAAATTCGGCAATTTTTCAACCATTTACCCTATTTTCTCTAATAGTAGTGCACCCTGAGCGTCGCCTAAATGGCTCGAAATCTCAAAAACCGCTTATCAGAACCTATCGATGTGGGGTCGGAAAATGTGGCTGACGATGAGATCTAGTGGGGGATTTGAGTGTTGAGCTTCTGCAAAAGCTTGGAAACCGTAAAATCGTCACTAACTCGGCTCGGCGCGGTGCACTACTATTAGAGAAAATACGGTATACATTTTGATGTAAGATAAAGCTTACACCTTATAATTCGGATCCGTGTAGTATTGAATCTCGATCATCGGTTTCTCTGGGCTGATCTGAACTTTAGTCTAACAAGTACATGTGCTCTCAATTACCGTAATTGTGTTTATAGTCGAGTTGTAGACGTCCGGCTCAACAGTAACTGTGAAAAAAACTTGTTCCGGTTGAACAAAGATCAGCCAATCGGTTAAATAGGGTAAAGTTGCTGCTTGAATTTTTCTGTAAAGAATTCTTCACGAAATGGAATTGAGTAGAATTCAATGATTGAATTGAGCTATTCAGCTAAGGTAACAAATTGGTGAAACAAATCACAAAAAGCGTTAGGATTTGGTTTTAGAAACGTGAATGTATCTTTGTACAACAATAAGAAAGCCATTTTTAATTGGCAATTGATGACACAAAGGGATATTAAGCTATTGTTTAACACTTGCTTACCGTAACTTAACTTACCTACGATTAACTTACCGTAATTTCGAAAATAGAGGCTCTGATCGAAGCTTGTTCCTCTCTTCTTTATCAATGCATTTTTCATAAAATCATGCATCAATTTTCGTTCCCGAGAAACTTGAAACAGTTCTGGTTTGATGAAAAGATCTAAAGTGATTCGATTGACCACCTCAGCCAGTTTAAAGTCCCTTGTTGGAGTATAAAAGTTGTAGACAGATTTAGGCTTTCTAATTACTACTTTAAAACAAGTCTCACAACAGAACAGTTGTCAATTTTATACGGGTGACCCGAAATAACCCGTCCTTTTTTTCTAGACTCATATTTCTGCTATTTGTAGACGAAAACGATTAATTTCTTTTTTAAAATGAAAATTTACATTGTTTTCTGTATATGTTCAAGATTTTATGATCATAGCATCAATAGAGAATTTTTTATGAACGTTTAAAAATGGTTGATCAACAAAATAAAGTTTCAAATTTGGATTTTTTGAAAAAACCCTACAAAATAATGTTTTTCTTTGCAGTTTTTTTTCTAAGAGCAAAGTTTTTGTTATGTTTAAGTAGATTTAGTTCAAAAAAATATCAAATGCGTTAATATTTTCTATAAAATCATCGATAAAAGAACCCTAAATTTGAGTTCAGGCTCGTTTTGAGATTTTTTGACCAGCTATTTTTGGGTATTCATAAAAAATTATCTATCAATGCTATGGTCATAAAATTTTGAACATATACAGAAAACAATATAAATTTTCATTTAAAAAAGAAATGAATCATTTTCGTTTATAAATAACAGAGATATGAGGCTAGAACGGACTATTAGGATGGGTTATTTTTCGTCAATCTGTACTGGTTTTCTTTTGTACTCTACTCTTTTATTATTTTGCAAATTACTGTTCAAAGGTTGTTTAATGCTTGATTATTTGATTAAACTCAGTGAATTTCTAGTCAGTGTAACCAAAAATTCAATTCTCACCATAATATCTTTGTAGCACAGTGGCGCCCAGATGTTCTGTGGTCGATGTCATGAAGAGAGTCTCATCAATTGGATGCTTCTTTTTCCAACCGGAACAGACGAATTTGTAGAAATCATCGCATGGATCAAGAGTTGAATCAATCGAATCCTCCAAACGAGAATGTGAGTCTCGTTGGGACAAATCCGGTCCAAGAGTGGTTAAATCTAGATTAAATCTAGAGTAAAGCTTTGAAGTTTTTGAATTTAGACATCAATAAGAGGAAAAGCTTTGTCTTGCTTTGTCTAAATGTCTAAATTGTCTTTTGTCTTTTGTCTAAATGTCTAAATTGTCTAAATTCGAATTCTTATTTCTTATAGTTTATCAAAATTAACTTTAAATGACATAAAATTTAGTTTTAAATGAAAGAAATGTTGAGCTTTTTGAAAGGAAGTTTGAAAGGAAACGGTTTGAAATGAAAAAAAGAACCAAATCTTTCTACATTGGACATCTTATTTTAAATTATTTTATTTCATTTTCATTTTAAATTCTATATTCTATTTGATATTCTATTTTATATTCTATTTTAAATTCAAATTTTATAATAAAATATTATACTAAAGAAGTTTCTAAAGAAGTTTCATTATTTCCCAAGCAATCAACGGTAAAAGAACGCAAAAGACTGCGAAAAGACAGCCGTTCTCTGTGCACCCCCATAATCGCGCGCTTTTTGGCACACGCCCGAAGAGGGGGTCATAAAAAGGGGCGACTCGGCCAACTTTCTGTCGGTGCTCTGTTTGTTAGTCTAAATTCGATCGCGCATTATGTAGCTCGCAGTATCTTTAGACGACCGGCACCTCCCGATGCCTCTTCTCGTGAAGAGCTGCCCGGTAGAAGGAGCCAATCGAAAAGTTGAGCCACAAAAGGCACTCTCTAAATTCCCCAGCACCGGCAATGAAGAGTCCAAGGGGACCAATTTTTGCTATATTTGTGAGAAGTCGAAATTTTAGGAGGGAATTTTGAGTAAAGTTAAATATTTTGCGAAAGAAAAAGGCGCAATTTTAGAATATTTAGAACATTAAGCTGAAAAATTTAAAATAATCACTAAAAGTACAATGTCGGCCAGTGAGTACCATTAGTTCAATTTTGAGACAAAAACAGTTCAAACTGTACTTGTTTTCTCAGTTTTCTTATTGTTAGACGAGTAGTCAATGCTTTTCGCCGAGAAAACAATATTTGAAAGCACTTCCGTTCCATTAATCACGAATTTCTTCGGAATTGAGATCGTCAAATTTTCGGCCAAAAGACGAGCACCCGGATCAAGTTTTAACAGTTCACCGAGTTTTATTCTAAATTCATTTTGCATTGATTTAAAAAAACTTCTTACGAATCAGTGTCTTCAGCGGAATTGACGCAAAATTTCACGATCAATAAGAGGAAAAGCCTCATTCAGACGAATAAACACTGATGATCGCGTTTTGTAATTCGACTCTCACTCCCGAAAAAGTGAACCCGTTGAACAAAGTGGGCGATTTGACAGAATTTTTGGTGATTCAAGTTTTTTTTTGTGCGCAAATCTCGAGCGATTTGGATGAACAGTCGACGAAAAAAAAAGAATGGGGCGGATCCGCGCCTAAATCGCTTACCGGTTTCGGCCACGCTTCGCTCGTTTTTTTTTGAGTCATCTGACAGTGTCGAGATTTGTTCTGAGAATGACATGAGAATAAAAAAATGTGTACTTGTTTGTGAAATTGAAAACTTTATTGAAAAGTAAATGATAGCCAATAGAATTTGAAACAATTTGGTTCAAAAAATGCAAACAAAAACGGAAATGACAACTACATTGCTCCAACTAATATAGCCATTTTTTAATTTTTACTTGTTTTTTCGTTTTTTATTCATTTTTATTCAAAGGTATTATCCTTCAGCCTAGCCACAACTCACGTATTGCATCTGGATTAAATATTCTGCATCATTTAAATCATTTGGATCAATTGGACCATTTATTAGGTTGGCAAGTTATAAACGATCGTTTTTTGGTAATGTGTTTTCTGAAAAAACGGTTTTAGCCAATCAAAAAACGGTTTGCTTGATTCAAAAGCCCTATCCTTAAACTACAAAATGGCTTTTTTAAATTTTTGAAAAAAATCTTTTATTTTAGAACTTTTTCAGGCATTTTAATGTAAGAGTCGAAAATTCGGGTTTCTAGCATTCATGAGCTAATATATTTTTGAGTGATTGCATACTTTTTAAAATAAAACGCTTCATCGATTACATAGTTTCCCAAAATTTCAGAACAATCCAATCTTCGGAAGGTTGATTTTCAAAATAGGCTCAAAATGCACTTTTGTGCTAATTTAATCCATTTTCGTCTGAATTTAAGCAAAATTTAAAAAAAAAAAAGATTAAAAGAAAGAGAACGGTCCGATCGATTGGATTGTTCTGAAATGTTGGGAAATTATGTAATCGATGAAGCGTTTTATTTTTTAAAGTTTTGAGTGATTGCATAATCACTCAAAAATATATTAGTTCAAACATGGTGTTTGTAGCAATGTGCAGCGTGGACTCAACTCCACCTACCAGTGCGCGTGTGAAAAGGGATGGTCGGGAAGCATTTGCTCTGTTGGTGGGTATTCCAGAGTTGACAAAAGAGTTAAAGCCAAGCCAAAGCCAAGCCAAAGCCAAGCCAAAGCCAAGCCAAAGCCAAGCCAAAGCCAAGCCAAAGCCAAGCCAAAGCCAAGCCAAAGCCAAGCCAAAGCCAAGCCAAAGCCAAGCCAAAGCCAAGCCAAAGCCAAGCCAAAGCCAAGCCAAAGCCAAGCCAAAGCCAAGCCAAAGCCAAGCCAAAGCCAAGCCAAAGCCAAGCCAAAGCCAAGCCAAAGCCAAGATCTTAGACCAATGGTGGTGTTGAAGTTTCAGGCGAAAGCAAATTGAAAGCCAGCCTTGACTTTTGGCTTTTTGTTTGGATTGTTCTGAAATTTTGGGAAGCTATGTAATCGATGAAGCGTTCTATTTTAAAAAGTATGCAATCACTCAAAAATATACTAGCCAATGAATGCTAGAAACCAGGATTTTCAACTCTTACATTAAAATGCCTGAAAAAGTTAAAATAAAATATAAAACATCAAATAAAACATCAAAAATTCAAAAAAGTCATTTTGTAGATTAAGGATAGGGCTTTTGAATCAAGCAAATAGTTTTTTGATTGGATATTAATCATTAATCAAGCAAACCGTTTTTTCAGAAAACACATTACCAAAAAACGATCGTTTATAACTTGCCAACCTAATAATAGAGCCATTTTTTTATTTTTAGTTGTTTTTTCGTTTTTTATTCATTTATAATTCAATTAACTTTACTTTATTAACTTATTTTAAAGTAATGACAAGAGGTAAAAAGCTCTCGGACTTCGAGAAACTTCGAGAAAGGACAGATCGAAGCATATAAACAGCAAAGAGTAATCGGGAAATTGCTCGACTTCTGGATTGACTTTTGCAGAAAAAGCGTCACAACGGTTAGCAACTTTGAAATCAAAAATGTACGCAAAAGTTTAGTACAAAGATTTTCTATTAGTCAAAGCTGAATTTCATGGATTTCTCTTAAAGTCTCTTAGTTTTAAAACTGCTTTAAAATTGTTGAAGCAGTGTAGTTGAAGGTTGACAAAAACTGTTCGCAAAGCTATTATTGCTTACAGTAGGCGGAAATCCAAAGAAAGGGTACAAGTGTTTTCAGAATTTTTATGGGTAAAAATTGGCTATCATTGGCCATTATCATTGGCTATCATTGGCTATTATCATTGGCTTTAAGCTAGTAATGTTTAACATCCTTTGAATGCTAAACATTACTAATTTCAGAACATTTTCTCCATTCAATTTGTTTTCTTTTTATATATTTTTGTCATTGACATTCAACATTGACCATTTGACCAAGTTGAATCGAGACAATCGGGTAGTATTTTGAGTGAGTGGACAGTCAAGTGTTGGACAAATAAATGTCAAAAAAAATGTCAAAAAAACAGATCGGGTCAAAAACAGATCGGTTGTAAATTTTGCGATTTGAAAGTGTCAGTCTTATTGTTAGACTAGTGCATAGATGACTCAACAAGATACATAAAACTTAAAAAGAAAGACAAACTAAAAATTTATTAGAAATGTTTTAAGTTTTATAAGTTTTAACTTCCGAATCAAAATGCCGTGAAATCTTCGGAATCTACTGAATTCCAGTAGATCAAAATGCCGTGGAATCTACTGGAATCTACTGGATAAAGAAAGACAATGTGTCTCCAGTTTTCAATGCTCTCGACGGAAACATTCTTCATGCGGCTTCCCTGTCAACTTCAGCTACAAATAAAGATCAAGCTGATAAGTCGGATGAGGGTAAGCAATTTGAAGATTTGTCCAATTGTATGTGTCCAACAGACCACCCAAGCTTTGTCGAATTGTCCAATTTTAGTTGGAGAATTTGGTTTGAACTATCAGGTTGGCCGGAAAGTCTTTTCTGCTTTTTTAAAAGCTTACTTTTGAAATGAATCGATCTATGGTTTATTTTATCAAAAAATCCTATTATTTCATTTCAAAAAGACGGATAAGACTTTCCAGCAATATCGAAATTTGGCCTATTGATAAGTGTGTTTCCTTTTTAGCATTAAACTTGTACAGAAAGAGCTCTAAACCTAGTGACTGGCCCCCATAAATATCAGGTTGTCCGGAAAGTCTTGTTCGCTTTAAAGCTTACTTTTTAAAATAAATAATAAACCAATCGATCTATGATTTGTTTTATCAGAAAGTTCAATTATTTATTTGCAAATTCCCTTAGAAGAAATTCTGAAAAGATCGCGTTATTTCATAAATTCAAATTCAAATTTGAAATTGAATTCACTTTTAACTTACATCAATCATGTAGTTGTCCCAGGCAGCTTTAACAAGAAAAGCGTCGCCTAAAATTGTTAAATCAAAGAGTATCAAGTACTGATATTGGCCGGAAAGTCTTGTCCACTCTGTCCGTCTTGTCAGATTGGCCAGAAAGTCCTGTCCGCTTGTTTAAAGCTAACTTTTTGAAATGAGAAATGAACCAATCGATCTATGATTTGTTTTATCAGAAAGTTCAATTATTTATTTGCAAATTCCCTTAGAAGAAATTCTGAAAAGATCGCGTTAGTTTGTTTTTTTTAAAGATGTGAAGTCGAGCAGTTAAAAACGATGAAACTCAGCACTTTTTGTCGCAGAAATCTTTTTTTTGTTTCAAAAGATAAAAGATAGAGAATGAAAAGTTAAGCAGATAGACAAATTTTCATAAAACTTCACTAAGCCATTTTCATTCTATGTTCATTGTAAAGATTTTTGAGAAAAACAAGAATTCCTGTCGAGATTTGACTCAAATTGACTCAAATTGATTCAAATTTGACTCAAATTTGACTCAAATTGACTCAAATTTGACTCAAATTTGCCTAAAAATGAGCTAAATGAAATGGTTAATCATTCTTATTTAAAGAAAATCACACGTTGATCGGTTAATTATTCAAATCATTATTCATTTATTCATTCATTTATACGAAAATTCATTTATACTTTCCAGCCAAACCAATATCTATAATAGCTATTGGATCTACAAGTAGAAGTCATAATTGACAAACTGTATTGTATTGTATTGCATATTGTAGTATTGGATTGTATTGTAAATTGCAAATTTTGACAAACTCTCCTTTCAGCGTTGAACCATGTAACACTGACTCCTGAAAGTTTTTCACCTTCTCCCAATTCACAACAATTTTCTGAAAGGTGAAAGCAGTTATCAGAGCTTTCGGTTTCGCTGATAAATTTACGAGTGCCACTGGCCACGCTGGATATAAAGCGAATTCCTGAAGTTCTTATCAAAATTTAGAAGTATTTTTATTTGACCACATGTACAGAAATTATTTTTGAACTTTTTTAGAGGTCACATGAGGAGGCTCGGGTTATTAGCGGTTTGTTTGGCGTTGGCGAGATGTTGCTCTTGGGATGTAAGGAATTTTGAAAGTTAAACTTTGCTATTAAACGTTTGAAACTTTAGAAAATCCAAGTTGTATTGGAAACCGTATTGGAACCGTATTGGAACTGTATTAGATCAAAATAGGAACCGTATTGAAACTGTATTGGAGCTGTATTAGATCAAAATAGGAATCGTATTGGAACCGTATTGGAACCGTATTGGAACTGTATTAGATCAAGTTTTACAAAGTTTTACAGTTTTCTTTCAAGAATCAAAGTTTTATTTGATGAATAGTTTGATTTTAATGAGTAAAAGTTACTTGTCAGAGCTAATTTTCATTTACTTTATCGTTATTTGGTGTAATAGACAAGTTAAGAATCTGTAAACAGATCAATTTTAACAATAGACAGTTCTAGGGTGATCGATTTTAACAAAAAAAACTTTAGAATTGTAACCCAGTATCCACTGATCCGAATGTTTTGAAT